CGGGGGAAGGGGGGGAAGGGGGGGAAGGGGGGAACGGGGTGGGAGTGAGGCGCAGGCCCGCAATTTGCAAACAACATGATCCGCACAACCTATCCTTACCGCAAACGTGGCGATGACATGATGCTTGTGTTGATGGCATGATTCTTTACCATAAGCATGGATGGCTTCAAAAATCGGGCGGTGGGGTGAAAATCCTGGAAGAAAGCCAAGAAGCAGGAGAAGCCAAGAAGCCCAGAAGCGAGGAAGCCGAAAAGCACTCGAAAAGCCTAGAAGCCGAAAACAAAAAACAACAGCCAAAAAAAACGAATACACTTTTCAAAACAACCTCTTCTGATTGGGTGAGTCAGAACCCCATGAACGCACAGGGCTGCCTATGTTTTACAGCGCCAAATTCTGAACTACAGCGCTTGGATTCTGCTTGGACATGTGGGCTCAATTCGAGTACGCTGGCCTCTCATTAAAGATTTTTCCTAATCCACATATCCCTGTCATTTTCCACCGGTGGCTCGTCCATGAGAGGCCAGGCCTAGAGGCCTTGCCGGGAGTGCTGGGTGTGTTTGGAGTCCGCCCCTTGCTGGAATCTGAGCCTGTTCTACGACATGCATTAACGCCACACGTGCGAGCGGTGGATTCGATGAATGCTGGCCATGAGGGTAGGCAAACCGGTAATTAAAGGGAATCGTAGGAAGCGGAAGGGGAAGCCCGCGCTCAGCATCTGACAAAGGAAGCCCCTCTATGAAATGGCTTTCCCCAAGAGTAGTCATATGAGCCATAGTCTAAACTCCTAGTATCCCACCTAGCAACCCCTATAGTAGTCCCTTAAAACATCCCCTATATAACCCCCTTTAAGGAGTTCAGACTGTAGCTCATATGCTCTGCTACGAAGCAAGCTTCGGCGTCGCTGTGCAAAAGGCGTGGTGGCGTTTCAATGAGAGGGGAGACCAGCGTTTCTTTCTGTATGTTCAAGGGGTTGCAGACCCTTTCTTTCATAGAGTCTATAGAGTAAATTTCAGAGGGGATAACAAGGACAGGCAGGCGCACCATAATGGCACAGATATCAGGCTCGTAACGCCGCAAAAGAGGGCAGCAGCCTGGTCCCCGAAGCCTGCCAGTCACAGGATCTCGAAGCAGAAGTTATGCTCATGTTCCACAAGTCTGCATCCTTCTGTGTACTGTCTCTATTTCTGCGCAAAGCTTGCTTCGGCCTCGTGCTCGGAGTTCGTCAGCTGCAAGGCCTTCAAATGTGTGGAGCACCCTGCTTCGGCTGGCCATGAGTCGCTGTTGATGTCTCACATGGATGTTCTTTGGAACTTTGGCATCTGCAGTCTCATTGCATCCCTAACTTGCTTGTGGCTTGCAGCTGTGACATGATAGGCAGCCTCAAATCAAATTTGTGAGCGGCCCAAGATTCTAATGTTCCACTCTCATGGTGCAAAACAGTCTGGTGCGGTCTGCTGGCCTCCCGCTATGGACGAAGTGCCGCCAGCAAACGCTTTTATAAGGGAGTTGACGACAGCAAACCTTATTGACAAACATTTGTAAACACGACTTGGGTTGATCCATTCTGCACTCTTTGACAACTTGAACAGTAACACACATGTCCCTGTCTGCCACGAATGCAGACACTGCTGTCATTTGTCAAAGGCTCTGTTCCACGTCGTTTGGGAACGATGCACGGATGGCAGTGGGCAGCCACACCAAGATGGCAAATCCTAGGTTGTTCAACATGTTTTGACGTGGCACGTGCCTCAAGAAGGCAAACAAACTTTCACATATCCCTGCATTCCAAGAGGCCAGCGCTGAAACGCAAAGTTGACGCCAGCAGCAGCCAGCGGGCTGAAGTTGGTGAGACAGCCTGTCATCACTCAAAAAAAATTCGCCAAGGCAGGAGCATCAAGTATGGCCCGAAGAAGCAGTTATGCTTACAAATCCTGCCTCAGCTGATTTTGTGATGACGCCCACGGCGTCCTGATCAGGCATGACTTGCGACGCTTGCGTACGACTTTTTGCTCCTGAATCGTTAGCAGACCTGATGCTTCAGCCCTTTGTTCTGGCTTGCCATGCAAGTAGCAGTAGGTAGCGCCACCAGCTTTGCTTGCCTTGGCGCACATCTGTTTGATTAAAGTTGGTGGAAGACTTCTATTCGGCACGGAGGTGCCGACTGACAGCGAAAGCCCATTAGCCGAGCTGCAGTTGCGCTAACGGGTCAGATGGCCACTGTAGTGTTTCCTCAGCACATCAAGTCACACCTCTCGTGCAGCCAACTTCACTCTCTACACGCCCTTCACTCGGCTCCAAGATCCCGGCACTGCTGCGTGAATCGCTGCGAAAAAGAAGTGGAAGGCAGGCGCCGGCACCTGGATTTTGAGCACTCAAGCGGCCTCAGTAAATGCCACCCTTTTCCGTCTCCCGGCAAGCAGCTCTTCCAAGTCGGCATCCCAGCCAAGAGGCTGACAAAGCCGAAGCCCAAACATGCCATTCTCCACCCTTCCTGCAAGACTGTCCGGAATGACGGCATGAAAGGACTATGCTTCCTTCAACTCTTTAATGTCCTGCTCGTCAATGGCTGCGCCAAGAGAGGCAACAGCGCCTCCAATGTAGATTCCCAACCCAAAGACAGAATTTGCCGTAGCGCGTGCCTAGGACAACTTGCAAATAGGCAGGGTGCAGTTCGAAGGTCTGTGTGGCAAGCAGCCAAAAGTCATGCTCCTATACTTTACTGAGCGACAATGAAAAGCTAGTGGAGTTGAGGAGCCTCTGGGAAAAGCTCTGAAATGACGGAGAGCGCGGCAGGATTGGTGGCTGCCTCCACGCCGTGGGCATGAAATCATGCTTGCACTTCAAGCAGTCCTGCCCAGGAAAACCTTGTTTCACCTTCGCTCCGACAGAAACTGCCAGAGTGGCGACTCCACTGCTTCGGCCGTAACTAGACAGAAACCAGCCCGCTGGCCCTTTGAGTTTGGGGCATGCTCTGACAATCCTGGAAGAGCCCGAGCACGGCCCGCTGGAATAGCAACGTGTTGTAGGACATCGCTGAGGCCATGCTGGCAGTGGCAAGTGACCTTACTTCTTGCGCGCTGCTTTGGAAGCTTGCGGCGTGCGACCATAAGGAGATATTGTTAATTGGGAAGCGGCGCCAGGGTTCTTGCGCTGCTCAATCTTAAGCATCCTTGTGTTAGATGGTGAGCTAGTCTACTACCAGCATGGCCCAGCTGTGCCAAGGTGTGCGCTGGCACACTACGGACAGCATGCTGAACATGCAGACTAACTGGCCCTGGGCACAACGTCGCGTCCGAACGCTCGCAAATGGGTACAAGTTGCCCTGACCAAGGCGCGTACCAACCGATTCCGGCTGCCGCTGTCAAGCGAAAGCGGTCAACGCTGTCAGCAGCGACCCCAGCATAGAGCGAGGCAAGCGTAAACCTTGTGTCTGAGCTGCGCGAGATATCTGTCAGCTCACAGACAATTTATTCAACGGTAACAGACAGTGACCTAGACCAGCGTGGGGCCTGTATGGCATTACAGTAGTATGATAACTCTGCCTGCACATTACGCAACGGAGCAGTCTGAGCGCTTCTCCAGTTAGTACCATGGAAAGTAAGCCCTGCAACTCTATGGCTGCTCAGGCATCGTCGCAGAAATGGTAAGAAACAGAAACACACACACACACATATAGAGAGAGAGGAATGGCTGAAGCCGAAGCGACTGTTTCAATAGGTGAACCCACACATCCAAACATGAGCTTTGCAAGATAACATCGATGAACAGAATTGCATCCACATTGACAAGCCAAGAGGCGGGATTGTAAAGCCCAATGTTGCAAAGAGCGCGTAATCAGAAGAGCCGAAGGCCAGGTCCTGCCACAGCTGCTACCATAAAACATTCAGATCAACTACGATGAACTTTGCAGACTTCACACTGCTTCTGGAAGTCTCGCTCAGCCCCCCAGGCGCCAGCTCCTGGTTCATCGCCTGATCTGCCTCCAGCTAAGGGAGAGCTCAAATGACAAACGAAGATATTCGCTATGTTGGTGCGGCCGAGTCAGATTCGACACCAAGCATGAAAAAAAAACGTCTCGCATCAGGACTGTGCGTCGCCCCGCATTTACCAGGCAGAAGCACGTTATCGGTACCAATAGGGATAGCTACGGATGACTGCAAAGCGCTTTTGGAGAGAGCGCGCGTTTGGGTCCCGAAATGAAAAGC